GCCCCTGTGCCCAGGGGTCCCGGCCGGGTGTAGAGAGTCTGGCCAGGGCACCTGAGACATGGGCGAGCACCGCGAGGAGGAGAGGAGCCCAGGCCATGGCGCGATCCCACCAGCTCTGTGTCCCCACGCCGATGGAGCTCTTTTGCGGACCCCGACGCCCTTTTAAGCCCCCGCCCGCCCAGGGTACGGCCCCTCCATGCAAATCTGACCCCGTGTGCTCAGGGCCGGATCCTGCCTGCACATCTCTCCCCACCTCCCTCCCCGCCCAGCCCCACCATCCCAGATGCAGTGGGGCGTGTCCCCAGGCACAGAGCGGAGACACGGGGACACATCACAGCTCAGAGCCCAAGACCTGCCAGCACGGACCCCCTGTCCCCAGCCTGGGCCGAGCAGCTGCAGGGCCAAATGGCACAGGAGAGCCGGGCTGCTGGGGGCAAGGTGGGGCAGGTGGTGCCCACTTTTGGCATTTTCCTCTCCTACAGGTCTCCCAGGCCCCACGCAGGCCTTGGCCGCTCCTGCCCTTCCCCGAAACACCTGCAGCGCTGTCCTTGCCCCTTCTTTTGCAACAGCCATGCGGCGCCCTACCCCTGTGGGGGCAACCCCTGCCTGGCCATGCTGGGGCCGAGCAGCTGGCAGCCCTGTGGCAGAAAAGGCCCCGGGGAGCCGGGAGGACACTGAGTTGCACAGGAGCCAGCAAAGCGCCCGTGGGCTGCATTAGCAGGAGTGTTGCCAGCAGCTGGGGAGAGGATCCTTCCCCTCGGCTCAGCGCCCTAAGGCACAGCCCAGCGCTGTGTCAGCTCTGGGTTCCCCAAGCCAGGGATGGGGACAGATGGGAGCGAGGCCAGGGAAGGGCCCCGAGGGTGACGAAGGGCTCAGAGCATCACTTGTATGGAGAGAGGTGGTGTGAGCTGGGATGGCTGAGCCCAAGGCGGGGAGCCTCAGGGGCATCTTATCAACATTATAAATATCTCCTGGGGGCAGGAAAGAAGATGGAGCCGGGCTCCTCTCAGAAGTGTCCACTGACAGCACAAGAGGCAACAGGCACAGGCTGAAACACAGGAAAATCTGCCTAAACATAGCAAACCCTTTTTTCTGCTGCAAGGACGATCAAACACTGGAACACGTTGCCTAGAGAGCTGTGAATTCTCCATGCTTGGAGATGTTCAAAACCTGCCTGGACAGGCTGTGGGCAACCTGCAGTAGCCAAACCAGCTTCGAGCAGGGGGTGGGACAAGACAATCTCCAGAGGCACCTCCAGCCCCAGCGATTCTGGGGCTTTCCCCAGACCCAGTGCCTGTGGTACCCTCTTGCTTTGCAGCTTTTTTGCCCTGGCTCTTCCCCTGCCAGCTCAGGCCCATCGCTCAAGACCTTTGCTCTTCCCAGGTCTCCACTCCCCAGCACAGGGGGAGCTGCCCAGCACCGAGCCCCAGGGCTCCAGCAATGTCTCCCCATGAGCTGATCAAGAGCCCAACAGGCCGGCGCTGGGCAAACTCTGCCAGAGCCGGGGCAGCCCAGGGGCTCTGCTCGCAGCCGTCGGGGCAGCCCCCGGCCAGCCCTGCTCTGACCCAGGGCACAAAGATTGTGGCCACCTTCGGCAGCCTTGTGCCCAACCCAAGAGCGGCTGCACCCTGGGGAAATGCCCCCACCCCCCCGCACCCTCCCTGTCCCCGCCGCCCGACCCCTCCCTGTCCCCGACGCTGCCCTCCCCAGGGTGCCCAGGGCACAGAGAGCCCGATGGGCACGGGCAGGGCAGGTCTGCAGGGGGACTGTCTCCCTGCAGGGAGCATGGAGGGGACCTGCTGGAGCAGAGCATGTGCCCCATGGCAAAGGACACCTCACAGGCTCATGTGCTGCTCCACCACTGCATCCAAACGGCAGCAGCAGGCAACACCTGAGGGGCCCTGGGGCAACAGCGGGTTTGTGTCTCATTTCCCCAGTGCTGGCACACTGGTGTCCCAGCCGGCACAGTAAGAGACAACCTCTGCCTCGGCTTGGACCCCAGGGATGGTTAACGTGGCCATGGAGAATGACAGGTTCCCAAGTGCTGTACAGCCCCTCCCCAAATGACACAGGATGGTCACAGACGTGAGGCTTTTAGGGACGGCCGAGATGGGACACAAGGCACAGCCACCTGCAGCACAGGGCAGCAAGGGCAGGGCCATGGCGGGGATTTGCACCACCATCAAACAGGGACAGCTGAGACTCCTCACTGCCCCTGCGACGGCAGGAGGTTTTTGTATCACTTCCCCATTGCTTTGCGTCACTGTGGCAGCAGTACTGCCATCGTAGCCACA